AAAAAAAAAAAGAAACAAGATATAAAGAAAGAGAGGAAAAAGATGAGCGCATTAAGAGCTGACGATTCTCATTAAGAAAAATCGAGAAAATGCTTATACCTTGGCGCATTATTTCCTGTCGCTTAACACGCCGTTCGCCTTGAATAAAGATCATCCATTGACGCGCGAGAAACTGCAACTCGAGCATGTATTTATATCATCGCACAGTTTCTTTTTTTGTTTCCGTACTTATGCATCAGAGAAGCCCATTGGATTGTTTTTCTCTTTTTTTTTCTTTCCTTATATCACATGTCACTAACATAACACTCACTTGTATGTTCTATTGTTTGCATTTATTATGCACAATATTTTTCCAGATTGCACATAAAAGACTTAAAATTTATAAACTTTATGCTATATAACGAACAATAATCATGAATACACATTCAAATGAAGAAGGTCCAGCAGTTGGTCGACAGACATCCGCTACTAGTGATGAATGGAATCAACAAACTATTTATGATGCACGAAATGTTCTTCAAACTCAATATTCTAATGAAACATCACAACAAACAAATGAACAACTATCAGGAAAAAGTGAGATTTCTTTTGTTTTTTTTACACATATAAATTTTCTTAAAAAACTAAATTTCTTTTTAGTTGCTAAGCCACCTATTTATCCAAATCATATTCTTCATCCCGAAATAATTCCATCACTTAATGAAGTACCTGCTGAACTTATTAAACGTCGTAATACTCGTTTTAATGATCCATCAGTAATCGATTCGTTTGAAACAGAAATGCCCCTAGAAATAGCTAGTTCATTACAAGATGAACTTGAACGTGCCGTGCAACATCGGTTTGATTTATATTTTTTCAAATGCTCTTTTCTTATTTCTATTCGATATTTTTTTTTTTGCATAAAAAATAGAGTTGCACACGATCGAAATCACGATATACAGGCTAGTGCAGCACCAATAAGTTCTGAAAACACTGCATTTCAAACTCTTTATACTAAAGAATCTTATCCAACAACTGCAACAAGTGAAGCATTTGAATATAGTCAGCAAAAATCTATACCAAGAGCAACTGTATATGATAAATCAAGTATACGTGAAGCATTTCAACGAATAAAAATTGCTGGTGATTTTGATGATATGTCACATATTGAAGATTTAGAAGATGCTGTTGGACCATTACTCCGTGCTCTGGTTATACGTGAAAAGTATTATTAAATATTTTTTATTTTTAAGAAAGAATATTCTGTTTTTTTTTTTTGTTCTTTAAAGATATATGATATTCAGTCTTCAATCATTTCCAATAACAGTTGCAAAATTTTTAACAAAAACTTTAGAACAAGAAGATCAATCACGTCGTGTATCATCAACAATACGTGCAAATACCGGTCTGGATCAAACACAAACACCTTTTTCATCATCTTCTTCCTCATCATCACTAATAACGAGTGTGGATACCATACTATTTGCACTGTCCTTTGCTTAAATCGCATTGCTTTTGTCTTAATTGCTATTCACATAGATTTATTTTCTATATTTATATGTTTGAATGTTTGCAGTGATGCCTTATTTATATTTAGAATCTAAATTAAAAACCAATTCTGGTGGTGCTAGTGGACATACATTACTCAATCAGACTGCTATATCCTTAAATTCACGCACGATACCACAACAGCTAGTATTAAATACTATATTTCCAAAAGTACATAGTAATCTACAAATAAAAACAAATACAATATATCCTGGTACTTAAAAGTTTTTGTTTTCAATTTTTTCTTTAAAATTTCAAAAAAGAATTTAACGAGGAAGAAAAAAACTAAATAGGTGATGATGCTTGACTTGTTTTCTATTTAATCTATGCTAACCAATTTTTGTTTGCTGTGTGTGTGATTGAATTTTTGAATGAGCTTGATAATTTTTTTTTTCTTTTTCTTTTTCTTTTCTAACAAACACAAAAATTTTAATATTTTACATATTTATAATTTTTGTTTTGTTTTTCATAGATGATCCCCATCCGTTTCATCCACCAGTTATTAAACGTGAAGAAGCATTTAATATACCATTACTTGAATCTGTTAATGTTTGTCTTAAAGCTGAAAAAGGTATTTATCGTCTTTATATACCTGATGATACCAAAGGATGGATACCAGTGGATTATACAGTTATTGATCGAAATCAATTTATTGATGATTATACACTTTTATCAGCTATGATAACAGATGGACCATTAAAATCATTTTGTTATCGTCGTTTACAATATCTTAAAGCTAAATATGAATTACATTGTTTACTTAATGAAGTTAAAGAATGGGCAGCTATAAAAGCAACACCACATAGAGATTTTTATAATGTACGAAAAGTTGATACACATATACATGCAGCATCGTCAATGAATCAAAAACATTTATTACGTTTTATGAAAAAGAAAATGAAAACATCCGGTGATATGCATGTTTATAAAACTAAAGATGGACAACTAATGACATTAAAAGAAGTATTTGATGAATTAAAAATTACAGCTTATGATTTAAGTGTTGATATGCTTGGTGTCCATGCTGTAAGAAATTGAAAAACAATTTTTCAACTTTATTATTTTTTTTGTTTTTATTTAGGATCGAAATACTTTTCAACGTTTTGATCGTTTCAATGCTAAATATAATCCGCTTGGTCAAAGTGCTTTAAGGTAAAAAAAAAAGTGGCACTTAAAATTAAGCGTATACCTGACAGATGAACTTATTGTCGTAATATCTCAAGCGAGGTCTGAAGTGTTGAGATGCAATTAGAAGTGTATCTCACGAGGAACCTCTCCAGATGTCAAATTGCTTTTTGAGTGAAACGATTTTCATTTGATGAGTAATAGAAAAATCTAGCATAGTTTGGTTTTCCGGAGCTTCATTCTCGAGATAGGTTTTTCAACAAAAATCTGTGATTCCCTTCACGTCACCTGAAAAATTGACTTTCGAATTTTGACTTCAAACTTTGCATGAACAAAATCCTTAATGTGATTAGGTGATTATGCAAATAATATTTCGTTTCTGTAGATGTAAATATATAAACACAATTTACTTTTACACACGAGAGAATTTCGAATATTCTATATCTTATGATAGGAGATATTAGAAAAATTACAACTTCCCTTATGAATTAATCTGATTGAAAACTTTGTTTTTGTAAAGTTTGAAGTCGAAAATCGATTTTATACGTAACCTAAGGGGACTACAGCTTTTTGTTTAAAAATCATCTCGAGAACAAAGGCCTAGAAAACCAAATCGTTCCAGATTTTTCTATTATTCATCCAATAAACATTGTCTAGGTCGAAAAGCAATTTGACATCTGAAGAGAGTCCTTCGTGAGTGGTTACGTTGTTCAATACGTATTCGCAAGGTACTATGTTGAATCCTCAGTATTACTATCTATGGAATGATCCTGGATCGACCACTAGCGGTTATTTGTCTTCAGTCACTTGTCAGATACTATGCTGACTAAATTGTGACATACAGCTAATCCTGTGGCTAGTTAATGTGCATGGAGAGCTCAAGCGATTGAGCACAGGAACTTTGCATCAGGTTGGTCTTCTGTCCAGGGCTGCAACTAGTGTTAGTTGTAGGGAAGATATCGAGCTGTTAAATCAGCTGCTAGGCAGCACCTTATATTGCGAGATAACCAAAAGGTAGCAGTATTCTTTTTCTTTCAAGTACCATCTCTTCCCAGTGTAAATGGACTATGCTATAAATATTACGTATTTTGCAATTTCGAACAGTGTTTTAGTGAAATTTTACTTGTTTTTACAGTTAAAATGTCGTTCCTATTGGAAATCATCAAATAAGTAGTTTCTCATAGCGACATATACATATATATTGTAATGTATAAGATGCGCGAGGAGTTAGATTTTATCGAAAACTTGCATCTTGATACTTCAAACCTCTTTTGATATATGCAGAAAACAAGGTCATCTATTAGGTATGCGTTTAATTTTGAGTACCATTCTATTTTTTTATTGCTTTTTTTCTACGTTTTTAGAGAAATTTTCATTAAAACTGACAACTATATTGAAGGTGTATTCTTTGCTGATTTATTAAAAGTAAAAATTCTAAAATTTTACATAATATAAAAATTTATTATTATTTTTTTTTTAGGAAGTTATGTCTGATTTAGAAGACAGTAAATATCAACATGCTGAACTTCGTTTATCAATATATGGTAAAAGTATTGATGAATGGGATAGATTAGCTAAGTGGTGTGTTAGCAATACAATGTATTCAGCAAATGTTGGTTGGATGGTACAAATACCTCGTCTTTAGTATGTTTATATTTGAACTCAAAACAAAAAAATTCCTTTTTTTTTCAACTTAGTGATGTTTATCGTGCAAATGGTATAACAAAAAATTTTCAAGAATTTTTAACAAATTTATTTCAACCATTATTTGATGCAACAATTAATCCATCATCACATCCAGATTTATTTCGTTTTATGCATCATTTATCAGGTTTTGATTCTGTTGATGATGAAACAAAACCTGAAAGACCAATTCTTACGGCTGATATGCCATATCCAGAAGAATGGAATATGAAAGACAATCCACCATATGTTTATTATTTGGTATAAATAAAAAGAAAAACAAAATCTCTGTTAAGACATTAATTAATTTTTTCTTTTAGTTTTATATGTATGCAAATATTCTAACACTAAATCAACTTCGAAGGTTTGGAATAGAATGAAATT